GGTGGTGAGGGTTACAGGGGCGAGAAACACAAAAGTAACGCAATAGTTACTTTTACCAGTAACTTGTTACTTTTATTGTGGAGTAACTCAGTTAGTAACTCAGTTACTTTTTGGGAGAAGTAACTAGTAACTATAACTAATTACCTTTTCAAAGTAACGTGCCCAACACTGGTAGTTATTAATTGCATTGATTTCTATATATCTTAGATTAAGGCTGTTTTTAAAAAGGGATGTGAGAACATGTAATCCCAGAAGTTACTTTTGTGAAATAGAAGTTCATTTTGTTTTTTGCAGGCTTCTACATGTCTGTGATGAATCCAAATACTGCAGAGTTAGAGACAGCTTTGCTGCTCTCACCAGAGCTCAATTCTGCAACAGAGATGTGCCTACGCTTTTGGTAGGTCAAATACTGGCAAAACACTAATTTTCTACACAATAGCACAAATCATGTTTTAGCTTGGGTATAAATATACATATACATACCTATTTCAGGTACATGTTGCCTGCAGAGGCATCCAACCATCTGTCCGTGCATGTACTGAGAAGTGGGGACCTTGGCGATGCTCTTTGGCACCGCTCTGGATTCCCTTCTAAAAACTGGGAGGTGGCCGAAGTTACAGTGTCCTCTCCTGCACTTTTCAATGTAAATGAAAGTATTTATAAATGAAATGTTCAGAGAGGGTGTGTTTATAGTAGCTTGTATCCTGGGTGAGATTTTTACTTTTTTCCACTTCCAAAAATACTGATCCTTGAGAAGTTGTTCTTTTATTTCAGGTAGTATTTCAGGCTGTCCACGAACCTGGCATGAACGATACAGTAAAAATAGATGATTTCTCTATGAGGGATGGGGCTTGTGCTCCAGCTGCCAGCTGTGACTTTGAGTCTGGACAATGCACTTGGGTCAATGTGCAGAAAGAAGATGGACATGAGTGGGTCATGTCCCAGGGAGGATCCCATGGACCACCGCAGGACCATACCACTCAAACCTCAGATGGTAAATCCTTTGAAAAGAGCTTAGATCCTGAAAGGGAAATCAGTAATTAAGAACATAAAAAAAATTATAGCATACCAAACTGTATTTTGAATCTAAGTAAATACACGTTTTACAATGTAAAACAAAATCAGTGTATCTTTCAAGCAGTCTCTCAATTAATATTTTTACAGTATAATTACAGCAAAAGTCTTCCAGCTGTTCCAGGACCTTTTTTGTTTTGGTTATGGTTTATTTTCTTATCCCATACATAGGGCATTTTTAAGTGACTTCTTTATTTTCATTTTCAAGCTTTGCCTCTTCAAGCCCCTGTAATGAAATACCTTTAGCCTACATTTCTTTAGATAAAGTTATCTATTCAACCTCAGCCAGCAGATTGACTGTATATTGAAATAAAATTTCACATATAAACAGAGAAAATGTAGTTTTAAACATCTCAATTGATGACTTATGATTTATCACAACATACAAATTCAATTTGTTTTTCTTAGTTTCAATCTTCTGTTTGCTTATAGGTTGGTTTTTGTTGAGCTCAGCACTGCACAGCAGCCAGCCGAGTGTTGCACAGATTGTCTCTGAATGGATCCAACTGGAGAACACCCTGTTTTGTCTCACTTTCTGGTACCATATGGGCAGCAGGTAAAAAAAAAATAGCATCACCCTTTCAATTTTTACTCTAGAGTGACAAAAGTATACGAAAGGACTTCATTGTGTTATTTAGTTTCGTCATTAACTTCCACAGGAAGCGTGAACAAAAGTCATTTAGTCATGGATCGCCTGCTTGACTTTGTGCAAGACTAAGAGTTTGTGTGGCAGAGTTCAGCGGACTATTACTGATAATGAACCCATAGAGAGTTTTACCCCACAGACAACATACAGAAAACGTCAGCATCGTTTAACAAACGTTGTTTCCTGTTAGCCATAGCAACATAAGTGTTTGTTTCACAAAAAAAGATGAACAGGAGCTACCTAAATGAAAATTTTGGAAATATATCATAGATTATTTAACTTTGCACTAATTTAATAAAATCTGGTTTCAAATTTTCTTAGTTATTCTGGCACACTACAGTTGTTTGCACGTTCAGACCCAGCGGAGGAGACTCTGATATTTCACGTAAACAATAGTGTCAACAGCTGGACCAGATTCTCTCACCAAGTGGACATGTCCAAACCTTTTCAGGTAAACGGAAAAAAAACACACACACACCTGCATTCATACTCCTTGAACTTGCTCATTGCATTTAGTTGGGATAGTATTTAATAAGTCTGCACAAAGTATTGCAAACATGGAGAACTGAAGGAAAGGAAAATATGGCTCTCAACGTTGTTAAAATTGTTTAAATATAATCTTGTATATTTATTAAACCAGCCCAAAATTATATTTTTTAGAACCACAATCCGCTGGAATTAAAGGGTCATTTCTTTGAGTAAATGCTTCACACATATAAAGACATATGACATTCTTTTATGGGAAACGCAGAGAGAATTGCAGAACAATTTGAGCAGAAGTTTGGTGTGAACTGTTATTAGGCCGTTCCAACCCATGATTATATTTTATTCCATTTTATTGAACTATGACCTAGGTAATTGTTTAAGGTTCTCGTCCAGGTGGAACATAATCTACACCCCAATCTCATTGTGGCCTGAAAACTTAAATTCAGTTAAAGTCTGCTTCTATGGTTTTGCATTAGTTTACTCCATCCATCTTACCCTCGACTTGGACCAGCTTCACTGTCCCCGCTGAAGAAAGACACCCATGGTATATGGGTGCCAACATATTTAAAGGTGATGATGGTGTGTTCAAGGTATTTTGAAGGCTTAGTTTTTTGCCACGAGGAGAAATTTGCAGAGCAAAACGGTTCAGCTTTGGTATCATCTGACTTTTTCAACTTTTTGGGCATACAGTTGGTGGCTAATTACATTCTTCTTGGTTTGCTCCAACGTATCCATTGATACATTGGAATAAACAAATGCAAGTTGTACAGCAATGTTATGAGAATAAAGAATAGTGTGAAATCTTTGCAGAGGAAGAGCGCCATGGCAGATCTAAACAATAGATAATGACAACATTATTAAATGAAATTGAATAGTATTCCCCTGTGCCAATATATTTGTATTATTTGTAACAGGAAGGTGTCAGTGAAGAACCTAGACCTTGTTCATGAGTATGTTGCAGATACAAAGAAATTATTTCTGTGCTGGTAGATTTCGGTCTTAATGGAAAACAGCCTTCTGCCTCAGGGTAGAGTGTGTCCAGGGTCAGAGGTGTCAGGTGAAATCTGTTCTGCTTTGCTGGATGTTCATGAAAAGAAGGAGGATTGCAGTCAGTCATCCCCTATATGGAGCGAATAATAAGCTGAATTCTGTCTTTGTCCCCTTTGGTGGCAGTTGCTACCAGATGGTGATGGAGGAGTAGGGGGTGGGAACAATGATGGTGGAAGTTTATCTTCTTTAGGTAGTACATCCTTTGCTGTTCATTCTTGATGAGGAACATGATGTTCAAACATATTCTTACCCAGGCCCATCTCCAAGAGGAACAACCCCCCAACTGGGCTGGCAGCAACAGCCCTTCTTGGCATCCTGCTATAAACCACACACCCACTCCCACAGGCAGCAGATCAGGTAGCTAAACTGCCGAAGGGCCCAACCCGCCTCCAGTGAGTCACAGCCCTTCCAGGCCCACACATCCATACAGTCCTTTAATACCCATGGGTGCCAGGCATTTGCAGCCCAGGTAGACCGTCCCCCTAGGCCAAGTACCCTTTTATCACTTTTATTTCGGCCTGTATTCAGGAATGGTGTGTGCCATCACTTCATCATACTGATGCAGAGTTGCACAGGGGATGGTTTGATAGGCCCTGTGAGCTGTGGTGTAGCAGTGACCCAAAGTTGTTTCCTCTCTTGTTGAGATTCGATAACATGTCTTTACTGCAAGAATTGTTGGCTGAGGTTCCCCTTGTCATTTAGAAAAAATTAAAAGGAATCCAGGTTTCTCTGCTCCACAAACAGCACTTTGTCAGCATGCACTGCACTGCATGAAAAGTGAGATTTTCGTCCCCGTAAACTCCCGCAGATCTCCCTGATTTTCGTCAGTTTCCGACAATTTGCAACTCGCGCTTGTCGCCGTTTGTCAGTGCCACAAATTGTCGGGAACGGACTCTGACGTATGTGGAGAGCGATCAGCTGTACTAATGGCCCTAATTAGCATATGAATGCAGCAAACCCGCGCGGCTGGCCAGGTCTGGCTTGAATAACCTACTCAGTATTGGCTGAAACCACTATTCTCAAACAAGTAAAATCGCTCGTGATTGGCAGCAAAACCACACGTGGCCACGCCAGGCTTTAATTTTCTTACTGAGTATTGGACGGAACCACTTCTTTTTAAACAAGTAAAATCGCTCGTGATTGGTTGGCATATATATATATTTATTTATTTATTCATATATTTTTTCATTCATATATTTATTTATTCATATGCTGTGTATTTATGTTATCCTACACTACTACACAATTATTAGGCTACCATCAAGGACATGAATGAATTTATACAGGAAATGAACATTTGCCAGGAAGCTAAATGAGGCAGCCTACCTCAGCATTGTTCCTGACCTTATGTCCTTATGACCACAGTGTACCAATCTTCTGATGGCTACTTCCAGCAGGATAATGCGCCATGTTATAAAGTGAATCATCTCAGACTCATTTCTTGAAACTTTTCCACTTAAGTAATTGTGAATTGAGCATATTGACAGAGAATGTTTTATTTTTTTATCTTAAATGCAAATTTTTTTTTAATAATTACTGCTCTAAATGTATTGCTCTGTCAGCTAAAGATCTGTTTTGGTCTCTATACTTTAATTAAATAAATCAATTCAAGCTAAAATGTAAGAGTCTATACTGAGCCTGATCTCTTTGTATCACAGATTTTCTTACCTTTTAGAAAAATGTCACTTGGGGTAAAACTCCCCCTGCAACCCTGATTTGCATTTGTATAGCTCACAGCATGTTCATTTACATGTTAAAGCCTCCCCTAGAATTCCATGGTGGGGAGGCATGGGGGGAACACTGCCTAAGAAAGCCCACGTCAATTTCTGACAATTTACGGGAGTTTTCGGCGATGCCTGCAAATTACCGTAAACTGCCGTTAACCTGAACTTACACGACAATCTACAGTGCCGCATATTGACGAAAATCCCACTTTTCATGCAGTGCTGTGAGTCATCCGTATTGGCCAATAGTGAAAGGTAAACACCAACCAAGGTAAATGAAGCAAATTCAGTGGAAGGGGGGGGGCATCAAACATTTTTTCAGTTAATAACAAAATATTCCAGATTAGGAGAGTCGCACTGTCATATTGGTACAACAGCTGTTGTTGATGTGAAAATAGTCCCCTCTGCAGGACAGTTATGTTTCATGGTCCACTCATTATAGCTGGAAGCCAGAAAGAAACAGACGATGACTTTAGGTTTCCTATTGTCCCCCAGTTTTTATAGTTTGCCCAGTTTGTTGCACAGTAAATGCACATTGAGGATACATTTTCTGATAGTGGTGTATCGAACCTCATATGACAAAGGGCCATTAGCTGGTTAGGTAGTTTTCTTCTTCTGTGGCTCTTAACAACGTAAGCTGCCCTTGAAAAAAACATTTAATTTCATTCCAATGATGATGGAAAAAGTAGAAAATAAATAAATAGCTCTGGGAATTACAACATAAAGCACAAAAAAACAACGCAAGACATACCTAACACAGCCATTATATGCAGCCCCATCTTGGGCCCATTGTGTCATGTGACACACTTCAGATTTTAAATAAAAAACTGTTTGAAAACCATGTATTATTTGTGGTGTTTATATTTTCAACCACAGCTTTTAATTGAGGCAGAAAGCAACAACAATGGATTTATTGCCATTGATGACATCAGTCTCATGCAAGGCCTTTGTCTAGGTGAGGATACTAATATTTTCTGTCTTTTACTTATTTTAATTTAGAAGTATATTTTGTGGTTAATACATTTCTTTGCTTTTATGTAGAAAATTACACAAGAGGATTTGTGGGCTGTACATTTGAAAATGGCACCTGTGGCTGGGATGATATCAGTGTCGGTCAGGCTCAGTGGGTAAGAAGAAGGAATGGAACAGAGAACAGTGGACCCTCTGTGGACAACACACTAGGCACTGAGCTGGGTAAGGTTGTCAGACTCAAAACTGGAGAACAGCTACAGCTTAATGAAGCAGAAAGAAAGTGTGACTTATAGCCCTAGAATCAGCATGACTCCACAGTACATAAAAAGCTGTTTCCGATGTTATGAGTGGTTTGTTTGAAAGAATAAAGAAGCTGAATATGAGTTTTTTTCTTCAGTTTCCTCTTTTGTGCACCAAATGTTAGGAATGCTGGGTGTTTTTGGCCGCAATTTCCTCATGCTTACTTGAGCTCAGATTGCGCCACTGAAGTGCCTGTTTTGAACAGGAAATACCTCCTTCTTTGATGTTTTTCAAAATCTGCACCACTGAATTTGAGCTTTTTAGGGTTTTTTTCTTGGATTCAAAGATCCTCTTCTACTGATTCTTTCAAATATTTCAAACAAATGGTGCAACACATCAATATATTTTCTTGCAATATATTTTCTACCCTCATTTTCTTGTTGCATCGTATCTCACACAAGTTTGTATATCAAACTGAGCTTTTGGTGTTTTCAGGTTGGTACATGGGGCTGGAGGCTGATCGCGGGGAAGAAATTAGCCCTGCCACTCTGCAAAGTCTTGAAATGAAACAGGCCAGCTCCACCTGTACACTACACTTTTACTACAACATTTATGGAACTGGTACGTGTTATATTTTATGTTGTAAGTGTAGAGATGAAAACCTTTGTAAAGATGTAAAACCTTTGAAATACAAAGTTCTTGGATTTCTATTTGTAAGCATTTGTGGAACTGTTTCAGACTCAGAGCTTAACGTGCTCATAAAAGATGGTTCTAGGATCACCAATTTGTGGTGGCTAGCTGGAAACAAGGGAAATCTGTGGCAGCATGGCAAGGTCATGATTGGCCGGATCCCCCAGGATTTTGCCCTCCTGTTTGAAGCTTCCAGAAACTTTAATGAACCAGGATATGTTGCAATTGATGATGTTGACTTCACTAATTGCTCCCTTCCTGGTAGGCCAGTTTTTATTTTGCTTTTGTCTGTTCAGAAAGTTAACTTTTCATTAATTTTGAAGCTTTGCAATTTTGCAGAGCCCCAGTTGTGGTGTTCTGAGAGTACATTCACATGCAACAACAGTGTATGTGTTGACCTTAACCATGTATGTGACTTCAGTGATGACTGTGGAGACTGGTCTGACGAGATTCACTGTGGTGAGTTATTGCAAATGGTGTTGATAAATGGTAAACTACAAATGTTGTTTTACATTTCCTTTGAAATCCATAAAAGTTTGGAGATAACAAATGTCATATGAAATATTTATATATGTGATTCTGTAATGAAACAGTATTGTCAGGAAAAAGTAAGCAGCTAAATTTACTCTAACTTTAAATAAGAACACACTTTCACATGGAATCAACCATTTGATACAGTGGCGTAGCAAGCTGCTTTCCACTGCTATTTCCGATTTGTTTTGCTGGTGGATATAACCGGTACTTATATAAGACAAAGTTTACTGGTGGCTTCCTCTGGGTTACTGCAGTTTCCTGATCATTTAGTAAATAAAGCCAACCCGTTCTCTACATTGCAACATCAGAACAGAACAGCTCAACAACCCGAGAGTATCTAACCTCAAAATATACAAGCGTCCAAGTTGAGGCAGTGGGTGCATTTTTGACTCTGAAAACATATTCAGTGGGAACTTAGCATTAGATCAGGCCTAGTACCTCGGAGCCACCGAGATCAGCATCATGGCCAGGTAGTGGTCCTCCAGTGGTTCCTGAACCGCCAGGAACCTTGTATGACTGCATGATGGTACAAATAAAGCACTGTCCTAGATCTTTTCCCACTTGTCATTACTAACCTGTTAAAATCGACTTTCCCCACTCAGAGACATACCCACTGAGAAGTCCACATCATTAACAGCAGCTCTATATTCAGGAACTTGGCATTAGAGACACCAGGATCCTTATTTAAATGTTTGCCGAGGGTCAAAATGGGGGACATCAAATCCTAGCTGAAACTGCTGGCTAATATAGTTAGATCAAACAATAAGTAAAATAAGTGTTACTTTGGTGTACATGTTTACCAAAGGTTTTGACTCCATAATGATCTTGATCCCCTACCAGTGATGACATGTTTAGCTGCATGTTGTCATTCAAGCACTGGTTACCTAGGTAATGTCCTGAAAATGATGTGGGCTACATTGATAATTGGCATACTTTTTGGGGAAAACGTGGTCTAATTTGGAGAAATGACATCCATCCCTCTTTGGATGGTGCAGCTTTTCTCTCTAGTAATCTGGTCAAATTAATTGTCCTCCGAAACCCTGAAAGCCCAGGGTGCAAACCAGGAAGCAGAAGTGTAGTTTATTACATATCTCTGAAGCTTCTCTCGTGTTACTCACCCAAAACCCCATCCAGACGTCTTGCTCACAGCCAAAATCAGATAAATTGGGGAAAAAAATCCCAAATGAGTACTTCATGATTCTCTGATTAAAATCAAAATGAGTCCAATTGTACAATAATTTTAAATAATTCAATATGATTTTATTCAACAGAAGATCGTTTTATGTTTAAAAGCTTTCACATGTCAGGTTCTAGAATGCTCTAGTAGATGACATTTACTGTTACAAAAAGCCATTGTGTATTATGGCTTTGAAAGCTACTAAATCGACGTTTGTCTACAATTCTGTTATGCTTTCTATGGTAAAGAGCAATACTTTCTAATTGAAGAGAATTGAAAAAGTTGGCTTTCCTCAATTAGTAGTACTTGTCAGTAAGAAACAAAGCTTCACTTTTAAAATCTTTATATTTAATCTCCTTTTTTTGCTTGCTCCGGTTTTATTGTCTTTTAAGTTCTCTTTTTTGCTTTCTTGTTGATGGTGAAACAATTTCTTGTGCTGCTGCTGGTCCTACATGGTGGCATAGTAGTGCAAACTTTCAGTTGTTTGGTTAGCAGGTGTACAATGTAAATTAGAGACATGAACACAAACATAAAATAACTCAGACGAGTGAAGATGTTGACATATTCTAACAAAATGTATCTGATTTTTATCGGGGATAATAATACACCAATAATAAAACATAACGGTATGTAAATACAATCATCAATTTAGGGCAGAAAAAATAAGAGCGATATTTACACATTGTCCCTTTAACAATATCTTTGACTTCAAAATGTGCATAGTCCCTTATCTTCATACTGAGGTTGTTGTGCTAACACATGGCATTGATTGAAAAGGAATAACTGTATTTTTTAACAACCCTGTCTTATCTGAACATATTTTAGTAACCTTCAGAATGACTTTAACAGAAGTATAGCTTTATTGGTCATTCCATTTCCCGGCTCATAGCAGTAATGATTTTATTTTATTCTTTATAGATAAGATTGAATATTAAAAAAACAACATCACAATTTTCAGCCATCTCAAAATAATTGTTTAATCTCTTGAAGGTGATAGAACATATTGGATGTCTACAGAACTGTTTGAAAACAGTTGAGCTTTTAGAGTTAGCCAAATAACTTATCTAAGTCTTTAGCTTTTATGTTAGATCCAATTCCAACCAAGTTAAGGGAAGTATTTCCTCTGGATTTCGCATCCATTTTAGATATTGCCACAAAACAGTCTTAAATTGTAAGACACTGAACCTTGGCTCAGTTTTATTGAAGATGTTTTGACATCCAGGGGTCTTTGTCAGTTCTGTTGGCACGCACCAGGGCAAGCCAACACATCCAGATGTGGTTGCCATGACCCGGATGACTGAGAATTTACACAAGCATTTTAGATGTGATTTATCTATCCCTATTGCAGGGATATGTGTCATATGCTTTTTAGGTAGCTGTCACTAAAGCTTTACTTAAGAACCCTTGTCTTGATTTGAAAGAATGTTCAATTATAGACCCATTTCTAATCTCCCTTTCTTATTTAGAATTCGTTCTTACCACTGATATCATGATGACCTCATTCAAGTTTTAGAGTTCATCATGGCACTGAAAAAGGACTTGTGAAAGTCATTAATGATATTCTCATGGCCTTTCACCGATGTGACTGTATGGTCTAACTGAACTTTCTCAATAAAGTGCATTGATATTTTGTGTTGGTGCAAAAATAAATAAACTGAATTAAATTGAATTTGATGTGACTAGCTACTCTCTGATCATTCAGAAAATCAAGGTGTGATGGAGCGTTGTAACTTTGAACATGGCCTGTGTTCCTGGGCTACCAGTGATGTAGACACACCAGGAGGTGAATGGACACGCCACAAAGGTGAAGACGTTTGGCCCAACCATGGCCCCCCAAGAGATCACACCCTAAACTTTGCCACTGGTATAACAAGCTTTTCACTGCTTCTGATGATTGCTGTCACAACTAAAGCTGGTTTTAATGGTTCATTTGCACTTGTATTCTATGATTTTTCTGTAAACAGGTCACTATGTTGTACCAGGAAGTCATATCACTGAGAAGGGTCAATTATCTGAAATTATTTCAAAGACACTGTTACCAAGCTTTAACTGCACTGTAAGTTTCTTAAACCATTTCTTTATTTAAGTACAGATACTAAGTGGAGACAAGAATTCCAAATCAGTAGGTCATTTTTTAAATATAATTACTTTACAATTGGCAAAATTATTGGTTCCCCCTAATGATCACTGTAAGTTTACATTCAACCTGCAGACAAATGTGGCCCAAATCCGATAATGTTTGCGCTAAAATGATTCAAGTGAGATTTTTTTCATGACTGTGTAAACAGGCCAAATCACATGGAATCTGACTTTATCTTGTCTGATCTGGGCCACATTTGTATGTGATTTTATATAGATATAGTTCTTTAGGAATCAGACTGCAGTCGGAACAGCTAATAGACCCATATCAGATTAGTATGACTATGATGTCACTTGAGGAATATCCCTATCTATCTTACCAACATACAAGGTATGAAGTATTTTAAGGAAGAAATAAAGAGAAAAAATACATAGAACACTTACAAGTCTGCAGCAAAAGGGTATCTTGGTTTCCTGTAGGATTTCTTATCCATTTTCTTTTTCTTTGTTTGTATCTGATAGGTGAGATTCTTCTACTTCAGCTTGAATGATGGTTCTGCTCAACTAACGGCCCAGTCCAGAACACTGATGTCTGGAATTAATGACAAAATGCTGTGGATCAGGGAAAGTTCTAACAGTTACAGCTGGAAAAGGGAAGAGATCACTTTCTCCTCCTCAGTCATTAGCAAGGTCTGTGGGAACCAACAAAATGGTGTCTTACATTCAAAGTTTGACAGAAATTTTGTGACATACTGTATGCATTGAGAATCAATAAGAATAGTTTGAGAACTTAAACCATCATTTTTTACTGATGTTTTAAAGAGTACTATATATTGACATTTGGAATAGGATAAAAATGTTAAGAATATATATATCTCATACAGGTTGCTTTCAGGTATGAACTCGGGGCAAGTCAAAGAGGGCTTGTTGCACTTGATGACATTTCTTTTTCCAAGGAATGCATTTTTGACCCTGAAAACGGCAAACTACCTGAAACATTGCCCACCTCTTCCCCGCATACATCCCTCAATACAGCAACGACCACTGCTGTGAAGCCATGTCAGGTAAATTAAAAATTAACAAGTGCACGTCTGCCTTGACATTATATATGAAACAAGGACATTTTCTTTATATATTTATATATTTTTCTGCAGGATAATGAGTTTTTTTGCAGGCTGTCTGCTGGAAAAGTTTGTATTCCAGCCACACAGCAGTGTGATTATCATCTAAACTGCCCTGAAGGAGAGGATGAGGATGGCTGTGGTAAGCTTTTAAAATGCATAAATCTACAAGTTACATTATATTGTTCTGTAACTTGCCTGAGGGGTTCTGATCAGTCACTGAATGAAGCATGTGACCCAGAGCAACACTTTACAGGAGCCTAAGCTCCCCTTAAACACCAATGAGAACTACATTATAAGTTGTTTTTAGACTTAGACAGACTTTATTTTCAGTTTGTATACAGAGTGTATACAAAACAAAATTACGTTCAGTACAGCTCTCATTCCACTGTAAGTCAAAAACACAGATATGACACTCACCTAATGAGACATATTTGAAGTTCTCTAATGTGGAGTTTAAGGGGGGAATGTGTCTTAAGGAGTAACTCCATGCATTGAACAGTGCACTGAAGAATAATTTTTCAAAACACCTTAAATAGAAAATAATTATGTTTGACTTCATAATATAAGTGATGTTATCAGAAAATAGTTTTGTTTATTCTAGGTGTTGTTTTTTTTTAATACAGATACATTTTCTCTAAAAAAACAGAAAGGTTGCATTGTAATCCTTATAGTCAGTTTGATTTATGAGTAAATATCAATGTTACTACTAAGTATTTTCTTCTGCTGCTCTTTTTTAGGCCCATGTACATTTGAGACTGATCAGTGTCTGTGGAGTGATATCAGTGACGGACCAGCTAAATGGCAGAGACAAAAGGGTGCTAGCACTGAGTCCCCTGAAGCTCACACTACCCAAACTGGTGACCTTTTTAATGTATTTTTAGATTGCATATTGAATCTGTCAGTTTTAAGTTTAAATTGTTAACTGATTCCTCAGTATTTAAGTCAATTAAATGGTGTTGCTTACTTGGTTCTTTTTTTCATTGTCAGGCTTTTACATGACAGTAAATCTCAGTTTAGGCTCCACTCAAACAGAAGCAAAACTCCTCAGCCCCCAACTCCCACCTTCATCCCCCTACTGTCAACTTCTGTAAGTTGTGAAATCGCTAATTTTTTTAACAGAATTTTATATAATAGATAACTTGATTTCATTGTATGAATTGTGTAACACTCCCCTCCCAAGAACTCCTGTCTCTCTGTCTCTGTCATGCAACCCACCTCCTAATCTGACATTCTTCTTCACTTCCTTCCTTCTTCAACACAATCAGGTTTCACTTCCCCATCAGCATGGGGAGCACTGGGTCACTTAGAGTGCTTATGCAGCAAGCTGAGGGTGGTGAAGCAATCCTGTGGTCACGCAGTCACAACACTGTCTCCCACTGGACCTCAGCACATATGCCTATAGGGCTGTTTCAGCAGCCATACAAGGTGGTTATTCATTAACGGTTTCTCCATTATATTTAGGACTTTGAGTTTTGAAACTTTCAGGAAGTATAAGGAAAGAAAAACAAAACAAAAAAAAACATGGGAAGAACATTAAGAACAATCTGATTTATATTTCGCTACATGCAGAATTCTCACATTGCCCAGCATGCTGCACACTATATTCAATGAATGGGTAAATGTATGCATTGCTATAATGCTTGTTTCTTAGGTAAGCTTTTCATTTGTCCCCATACAATACAGTATTAATAGTGTTTTTAATTACATGTAGCTACAGAATTTACATTAAATTAGCAGATTTCTTTTTTGTTTCAGAAAGTTAAACTGAAATATGAAAAACAATTTCTATACTTTTATCTTGTTCATTTTTGTAAAAGATGAAAATCTTAATGTATTATTTTATGATGATATAATATTTCATGTCAAACTCTTTGACATGTTTATGGATATGAAATGATGAAGCACACTACACTCTGCTTAATCATTTTTTTCTTAATGTTATAGATATAGAAAGTACATAATCTGTTTTGAACAAATGATTAGAAACAGGATAAATCACAATAATTCTAATTTCTCCCCATTGAAATTTTAAACGAAGCTAAGAAAAGTATGACATTTAAAAAGGAAAAAAGCATAGATTTTAAACATTTTTGTGGCTATCTGTTTTTTTTAGATTTGGTTCAGTAGCATAACTAAAGAATCAGGGCACATTAGTTCTACTCAAGACCATGTTGTTGGAGTGGATGACATCTCTTTTATGAACTGTGAGGCAGCGTATAAGCCACCAGGTGACTATGGTTCCAATAAACTTCCTACTAAATTGGGATATTTGTTGTTTTTTTCTGTGCATTAATCAGAACGTTTTAATTGAATTAAAACTTTTTTTTTCTCCCCAGCCCTGTCTTCCTATAGTTGTACTTTTGAGGATGGCTTTTGTGTTTGGGTCCAGGGAGCTGAAGATGAGTTAGACTGGTTCAGTTGGTCAGGTCCCACTGAAACCCCCAACACTGGCCCTGCAGGAGACCACACCACTGGAACAGGTTGTTACTTTGCCAAACTATCAGCGATCAAGTTCAACTTATAAAGTGTGTATAAGGAAAATATTTTTATTGTTGGCTAAGAAAGAGCTTGTGTGACCGAAGTTGACATTTGTAGAAGTTATGTTTTACTTTAGCAGCATATACATAATAAAGCTACGGTAGTAATTAAATTACCTGATTACAGAGAAAGAAACACTACAACAACTTATGACTCAGCAGCGGCAGTTCTTACACAAGTGCCCTGGGTGAACTTGGAGTACTCCGACTCTCCTGATGTCAAGACTAATAAAAATATTCAGTTTTATGTTGTTAACATCAAATTTTAAAACTTATGTAAAACGACAATGTATTGGTTTTGTCCTGGATGACTGCACTAGCATATTTCTCCAAATGGGCTGTAAAAAATGTAAAATGTTAAATACTTTGAAAAAAGAGATCATTTAACATAGCCCAGACCTAAAAAAAAAAAATTTATAATGACACAATCCTTCAATGTAGAATCAGTTTATAAGCTATGAATCAGATATCAATTTCAGTGTCATCAGCACCCTAGGATTTACTATAGTTTTTTATACAGCTTGTAGTGCGTACAACATGTGGTGGGATTCCATTCCAATTAAATATGCAAATAAGATATACAAAAATGCTATCTTGTTTTGCAACCTTCAGATCTGTCTGTTCTCTGTTTGGTCTTGTGCTAGCCCTTACTATTTGCGGCTCACAAACGAAAGCAATAAAGTCCATATAAAAAACATCTGCCATGAGGAAAGTGAAAATGTTGCAAATTGTTTTTCCTCTACAAATGCAAAGTGTTGTGGAAACTGTAGAGTGCTAACTACACAGATTATTGTTTTTTAACAAAGGAAAAAAGCTCACAAAGGTTTCATATTTATTTTACAGGGAAGTACCTTTACATCGAGAGCTCCCATCCAAGTGGAAAAGGAAACACAGCCCAGCTAATGTCTCTACTGCTGCCACCAGCTGGTCAACAAGGATACTGTTTCACATTTTGGTACTACATGTTCGGCGCTACAGTCGGTTCATTGAGGCTGTTTCTGAAAACAGTTGATTCATTGGACAAAACACTGGTAAAACACAAAATAGATCTTAGAATCTATTATATATTATACAACTTTGGTCTTTTGTTTTAAATGCTGAGACTGTAGATTATACTGTATCATGTATAGCCTGGAAGACAACCATGCAGTCGGTTGAGTAATATTGAGGCTGTTTCCTTTTAATTTTCTTTCTGTTAAAACAAACTTCTCACAGTTGTGAAATGATGATTGCAAAAGTATATTTTTGCATGGTACCATAGGTCCAAGCTGCTTAGTTTTAGTAAATACCTCCGGGTTGCATAAGCCTCCTCACATCCTCAATGTGAGAAGTGATTCAGCCTTCTGTCTTTCCTGTAGGTGTGGCAACAATCAGGAAACAAAGGGGATGAGTGGTTGCTGGCTCATAGCCATGTGACCCTGCAAAGAGTACACCAAGTGATTCTTGAGGCGACTGTGGGGGGAGAGGCTGGGGACATAGCCATCGATGACATCTCATTTATCCATGGGCCATGTCCTGACTCTGGTAATAAAATTCTCAAAAACATAATAGGATTTATCAGTTTTCTTTTTTTTCTATAATATAAACACAACCCATCGCCGCAACACAGAATTGCAACACACTTCTGTCCACTGTCTTCTACCCCTTTCCCACTGGCCGAAAAACATGTTTAAACCCTGGGAACAATTGACTTTTAGTGGCAGTGGGATCAGCTCACTGACGCATGTCTATCCGGGTCAAATGACTCGGCAAGCGACCCGTTTTAAAATCGCCTCATCTCTGACCAGCATGCTGTGGAAACACCAGAGCTGGGTTGACCCACTGATTTACGTGATATCATTCAGCGCAATGATCGAAGGTCAACACACCGTACAAGTCGTGTCTGATTAAGCAAACCGAAACAATTCTGTTTACATTCGATAAACATGGCGCAGCACTGGT